ATTTTGTTTCCTTGGGATGGAGCCAGGTTAGCTGTTTGGCAGTAGCTTCATATTTATCCTACATGCATGAGAGCTGTATCAATCTTCTTGTATAACACTCAAACCCAGAATAAAAGCATATTTCTCAAAATCTGGAACATCTATTTTAAATGCTGATGTGACTGGCCCTAAAGTAGGATACAGTGCATGCTTGTCTCGCAGGTTTTTTAACTTCCAGTTGAAGGACAGCTTTTTGACTGCCCTATGTCACACAGTGGATACTTTTAGCCAGCACAGCTCACAGTGTGCTGAGTGCATACATCTTGTGCTGCGATGTGATAGACTGAAACAACCTTCCAACCTGACCCCAGATGACATGACACAACCCACGCTCTGGCTTAATCAGAGCTAATAAGGTCTAAAAATACTGTCTGTGTAAGTATCAGGTGATTTCAAACGAGAGGTGGTGAAGTATAAGGGCATATTGTAACACAATGGACATTATTATTCAAAGTGGACCTCCTTGAAAAGTGATGATGCTCTCTAAAAATCCAAACACTAAGGTGCACAAGTTAAGTGCTGTAATTTACTAACCCAGAAGGTGTGGCAAAAGCACCGCATATAAATAGTATCATTTATCAAAAAGTACAGCTCCAGGTAGCCCATATTGAATACAATTTTGGGGACAACTGTAGCAATGGTGAATAACAAGATATTAGGGCTGCTTTATGATAAATCAATAAACCCAGAGGTCACCAGGCTATCGGCACAAAGGGAACATTGGTTCTTTTTTGTATGGCTTCCAAGAAAGATTTGCTGTTTTATGTTTTGCTTGTAATTTAATGCTGTTTTCAGTACAGTAATGATTAAAAGTTCAAGCAAGAGAAAGGACTTCTGTGAATGGATATTGGGGTTAGGTGGTCACTGCAAAAGACAGATTTGTAGTGAAAGTGAACCTTTTCCTATTCTTTCCCAAATGTATTACTCTCCTGAACAATTTATTCCCAGTGCATTATATTTAATGGTGAGTCATTGTGAAGGTCAACTATTGGTTTCATTTTCCCTTTGGTTTTTCTGTCTTTTGTCTTGATGTTGTTGGTTGCAGTTCAAGTCATCTATTATTTTCATCTCTAAACATCAAGTCTGTCAGTATCACAGTTAATGTCCTTACCTGGTGGGTGAAGATATGAAGATACATTTACCAAATGTGGACTTATTGCAGCATCCAGATATGTACAAGGACCTATAAAAAGCAAATATATTGATTTCTGAAAATAAGGGAATTTTAAAGAGTAGAAATTGAAGATTTGATAGGGGGGAATGACAGGCAACAAAGGTCCTTAGCTGGACTTGTGTTTTGGGTGTTAAAATAACTGCACACTCCCTAGGCTGCCCTACAATATTTAAGTGTCTAAATGATTAAATTACAAAAGTAGTTTAATGTTAATATCTGGCCAGTGTTGCAACAGGAAGTTATGTGAGCTGTAAATATGTTCCCCTGGTAGGAATAGTGTGCCACTTCAGAAATCAAGTCACACATCAATTTGAGGAAAAGATTGACCGTGAAACTGTGAAATCTTTAGAATCTGGTTTGGATGAGACTTGCCCGCCAGGTCACAACTACCACAGTTGCTGGTAGTTTCACAGTTTCCACTGAAGAGGCTCTGGACTCTGGCGCTGCAGGAGGCTACTTTAAGTTTGGATTCCAAAAGTCAAGAAACCAACATGTTTAAATCAGTCAGGCCTGTGAGTGTTATCCAATTATAGCGGTGAAAAAAAAACTTTTTTACCTTCAATTCCCTCAAAAATGTTTGCTGGGGTGCGAATGATGGCTGAGATGGCATCCGATTCTGTTATCTTGTTTCAAGGGTGTGTGTGTGTGTGTGTGTGTGTGTGTGTGTGTGTGTGTGTGTGTGTGTGTGTGTGTGTGTGTGTGTGTGTGTGTGTGTGTGTGTGTGTGTGTGTGTGTTTGTGTGTGTGTGTGTTTGTGTGTGTGTGTGTGTCAGTATCATATGGTGATGTGGCATGTACACAGCATGTCAGGCTGTCAGCTATCCATCGTTCTCTATCTCTCTCTCACAGACACACACACACGTCTTGTAATGCAATCTCTAAGGAGATGACAGGTGTGTTGGCTTAAAGTCTTTGCCGACCTGTCACCTGTGTGTGTGTGTGTGCGTGTGTGTGAGAGGTTGTAACATGAGAGTGTTGACAGTTTGTAAGCCTAACACTTGATGCTTATCATATCTTCTCACTGTACCAAGTCATATTTCGGTAATATTGAAATAATTTTATATCAAATTTAGAAATATATTTGGTATGGTAGAGGCCAGTGGTGTTGTTTTACTGTTGTTATACCCATACCTAGAAATGTTTGTGCAAATTGTTTCAATTATGTTTAAATGCAACAAACAGCACCTTGCAATGCATAGTTTTTAAGTTAGTATTAGTTTCTTTATATTAAAGGGGACCTATCATGCAAAATGCACTTTTGTACGTCTTTTATACATGAATATGTGTCCCCGGTGTTCCAGGGAACTCACCAAGTGTCAGAAAACACAACCCTCTCTATTTTCCTCCATACCCAAATCTCTAAAAAAGGGGCTGCAACGGATCTGATAAAAACTGATCCAGATTTGAACACTGTCCTGACGTCAGGACGGTGGCGCTACGGCTATTGGGCCAACTCCACCAATCAGGAGGAGACAGCCACGGCCATTGCCGTTCGAAAGCGCTGGAGACGCTGTAGTACATATGCCAGGCCAGTAGATGGTGCTGTTCTCACTGAATCTGCCCAGAGCTAGAAATGGTCAAATTGAGCAAAATGAGGCATGGCTAAAATGCATGATCTGTTTGGTATTTTGAAAAAAAAAAAGTATAAATATGCCTTATATAGGTATGGTCCTACACTATATTATTCAAATATAGCATGATAGGTCCACTTTAAGTGCTTTATATCTGGTATTGTGCAGTAATGATAATGTTCAAAGGTTGATCCTTTGTGTTCCTGTTTCATGTTGTCTTCACTGACTTTGAACATTTCATCCCCTCTCTTTCTGCCCGTCGTTTTCCCCTGCACTTGATCAAATAAAACTTTATTGAGCTAAAGAGATTTACTACAAATGGACTTTGCTTACAGGGACAGTTTTCTGCTCAGAAAGAAAATCACTGTAATGGTTTTTTAGTCCAACTACATTTTACGAGGTTAGTGTAGTGCAGGGGTGTTTTTGCATGAGTGTGTGTGTGTGTGTGTTTATATGTCTGACCAGTGACTAGTAGAAATACATAGTTCATCAAGCCCCTGCGGGGAAATGGAAAACTTAAATTTCTCCTCTGTAACTTTCTGTTTCTGTTGACCTTCTTTAATTCAACTGTGATTCAGTTTTTGCCCTTTCTCATTCTTATCTTTTTCCTACTCATTTTTCTTTCCCCTCACTTTTCACTTTACCAGTAGATGTTTTTAACAGAATGAAAAATGAAACAATTTTCGTCTCCTCTGTCGCCCTTTTTTCTTTTCTTTTCTTTCAGTTTGGATCAACCCACTTCCACAGTGCGTTGGAAGCACATAAACAGAAACCGAACCAAAGCCAACATGACTCCCACCTGCCTGTTTTAACACACACACACACACACACACACACACACACACACACACACACACACACACACACACACACACACACACACACACACACAATGACAAACACGCGCACAGTCTACCGCCATAGATATTTTATCAATAGCAAATTCAGACATGAGATAAGACAAACATCACTCAATCTTCTCCAGCCAAAAGGAGAGGATCCTTTTTATATTTATTTCCTCCTAAAGGCTTGTTAGACACACTATGATAAAGTTCACACATATTACAGTCAACAGCATTTTTACAATAATTATGCACAGAAAACATGTTCGTCTAAGCATAAAAACCTTAAAAATAGAGTTAATTGTATGGTAGGTCAGCCTGTTCCACTAATGGCTGTAATTATCTTATTATTTTATTACAGCAACACTTAAGACTGGAACACATTCAGCACTTTACAAGGTTTAATTTGATTTAGATTATATAATGTAACAAAACTCCATTTCCTACTTAAACAAAAATCTTTCTTGACTTTGTATTACGAACTATGTGACAATCCTCTTTTGCTCTCCAATGCAATTATTAAAACATGGACAATATTTACTTATTACAAACCAGTCAGCATGGCAAATTGTACGGTTTGGTTAATAGATAGCCGCAAACATCCCAGGTGGTGACAGGGGAATTTATAAGAAGCTTAAAGAAACGTTTGGCTGACACACATATTTTTATTTTTATTTTTTGTATATTTGTCATCACCCATGGATTTTATCATCCTGATATTGCTAAAGAACATGCTTTAAATAACTCATTACAAAAAGTGTAATCACTCACTTGAAAGAAAGAAATGTTTCAAGGAGAGTGCGTAACTGTCCTTTCTCTTCAAAATCCATCCATCTATTCATCCACCATCCATCCATCAATCCATCCATCCATATATATGTATATCCATCTGTATATCCATCTGTATATCCATCTGTATATCCATCCATCCATCCCTCCATCCATCCGTCCGTCCATCCATCCAATAATCCAGCAATCTATTCATCTACTCATGTATCCATCCACCCATTCATGAATCCATTAATCGACCCATCTATTGATTTATTATCCACGACTCATGCATGCATCCATTCATCCATCCATTTATCCGTATAACCATCTATCCATCCATCCATCCATCCATCCATCCATCCATTCATCCATCCATTTATCCATATAACCATCTATCCATTCATCCACCAACTATCTATCTATCCATCCATCCATCCATCCATCCATCCATTCATCCATCCATCCATCCATCCATCCATCCATCCATCCATCCATCCATCCATCCATCCATCCATCCATCCATCCATCCATCCATCCATCCATCCATCCATCCATCCATCCATCCATCCATCCATCCATCCATCCATCCATCCATCCATCCACCCTACAGTCCTCCCACTAATCTTTTCACTGAACAGATCACCCCAGACACACTGCAGATGACCCCCAGGCTCAGAATGCACAGGTCTATCAGGCGGTCCCGCACAGTGAGGCGACTCCACTGCAGTCTGAGGTGAAACAGGCAGGGCAGGATGAGCGTCATGGCCGCCCCGGTCACACTGCCGGTCAAACCCATCAACAGCGAGAACCTGGGGACCATCAGGGCCAGCAGGTATGATGTCATCAGCAAGGCGACACGGACCAACAGGGCCGGACCAGACACACCTCGACCTCCATGTTTGGAGTACGATGAGACATCTGTGGAAAGGTTGAAGTAGAGTGTTGTTTTGATGTCAATTTGTGTTGAACCTGCAAGCAATTTTTGTGTATGGGTTGCTCTTTTCAGACTAATTGTTTCCCAGTTGCGTCTATGTAGAGTTGTCATCAGCACAAATTAAAAATAAAAGCTGTAGAAGGCAGGAAGGGTTAAAATGACATGTGCATTGCCCATTTAAATATCATATTTTTAAATGACATCACTTCGGAAAAAGGAAAAGTGTTGCTATGTGATGATTACTTCATTAGTGTTTACAGTCAATGACAGTGAGAAGGTTAGTTATCACAAGGTTTCCCTGATGTCAAACGGTATGTGATTTGCTTTTTTGTCGTTGGAGTTGTATTTCTGACATCATCTGTAAAGTTTTCATTTCATATCTTGGTTTTGACAATAGGCTTAAGTGTGGATGCAAACAATTTATGAGGTAATCTGTGGGCTAAATAAACGTTTAGTAGAAATGAAAGTGTGGTTCTCATGCTCTGTTCAAGCACAACCTTTCTTCACTGACACATCTGCAGAGACTCCCATCTTGAACGATCTAACCCCAGTCCACCACTATTGACCTCGGGAGCAATTAAGTCTTATGCCTAAGGCAGCATGAGAGAAAACAACATGTAACTGATTAATTTTCTTCAAAGCTATTTTCATTGACCATCCAGGAATCCACCAGCCTCAGGCCTGCTTTCTTTATCTTACATGCTTATGCTGCTCCACAGAGTAATAAGCAATATAGAAAGGAAAAAACAGCTTCCTAAGGCCATGTGTAATCTGCATATCAGCCATTATAACGTATACAGTAAAATGGAGATATAAAGTCCACCACACCTTCGATATAATTCACGAGTACAAACCCATTTATAGATGGCCTGAAGGAACTCTCTCTTCATGTATGGTGACAAAACTTTGGGAAAGGTCAGTGGTTTCAATAAAAAGCTGTCGTCGTGTTTACCTCCAAGCAGGCAGGTTTGCAGTATTTCAGCAGCAGAGTAGAAGGGCAGAGGGTAGGACAGCAGGGCTTTAGCCAGCAGGCACAGGTTGACGAGAGGTCGGAGGTCAGAGGGCAGGTTGTCTGTGATGACCTCACTGGTCTCTTCCCCCCAGGTCAGCACGGCCTAATGGAGGAGGAAAAACAAATCAATGCAATCAGTCAATCAATCACTCCATTTGTCTGTCCCTTCTTCCATCCTTTAATTAGATCCGCAGTTGTTAGCCAGATGTCCGGCCAAATATAGATTCTGTCTCAACGCTTTTTAAGTAACAAATTATAAAATAAAACCGTCACTGTATTTATTTACCTCTGACAGCACTTAACTAAATGTTAGCTTTGTTTAGGAGTCTTCACAAACACATAAAAAAACAACTCTATCAACTCAGTATCACAAGAACATTTTCAGTGTTTAACAATGTTACAAACCAGTAAAGAAAACAGGGTTTTCATGATGCAGGCGGCACCATGAGTCCACCCCAGCATGGTGTTAAACTGCCCTCTGTCCTCCATACTGCCCTCTAGAGGAGGGAGGAAGATCTGAGAGGTGTAGGAGAAGATGATGACGCCCACAGAGACGAGGAAGTCCTCCGGGTCCACAGACAGAGACAGAGTGGACCAGGACCAGCTGCTGGCTCGACTCAGACAGTACAGCATGACCAACAGGCTGACAGAGGGCCAGAGACAAAAGGAAAGAAAATGATAAATACATTTAAATTAATAAAGCCTGCATTGATAATTGTTGTATTATGTTCAAAGCATGATGCAATAAGAGCTGTTTACTCTTTGGTACACAGAGCAAGGTTTGCCTATATGAGGAAATTGAAAGAAGAAATAAAGACATTGTACAAAATATAATACAACAAAAATGTATTTTAAAATGTTATACAAATTTGGGTTTTTTTTTTTTTTTTTTTTTTATTGGGAGGGATGAACCCCTCTTTAATGGTCACACATGCAGAGCACACAGCACACACAGTGAAATTTGGCCTCTGCTTTTAACCCATCCTAGTACCAGGAGTCTAGTACTAGGAGCAGTGGGCAGCTATTGTACAGCGCCCGGGGAGCAATGGGAGTCAGGGGGGAAGGGGGGTGTCCGGTGCCTTGCTCAAGGGCACCACGGCAGGGCAGGAGGTGAACTGGGACCTCTCCAAGTAGAAGTCCACACTCCATATTTAGGTCTGGTCGGGGACTTGGACCAGCGACCCTACGGCTCCCAGTCCAAGCCCCTACTGACTGAGCCACTGCCGGACACTGTTTCTCTGCATTTGACCCATCCTAGTGTTAGGAGCAGTGGGCTGCCATTATGTACGGCGCCCGGGGAGCAGTGTAGGGAACGGTGCCTTGCTCAGGGACACCTCGGTAGCACTTCCGGGACTTGAACTGGTGACCTTCCAGTTGCCAAGCCAAGTCCCTATGGACTTCGCCACCACCGCCCTTGGTGGTTAGCTGATTATTTATTTTTTGAATACAGGTGAAAACAAGGCTTTCTTTATAAGCTCATAAAAGAAAAATGGGACATTCAATAATAAACTTGGAAGAAATTATTTGCACATCACGGAGAACTTTGAGATCCAGCTCCATTATCTGAGACAACTGGTGTAAAAAAATCAAACAAGCAGCAACAGCAGTGTGTTGAAGATGGGAGTAGACGGCCAAACCAGCAGAAGATGCATAATGATCAAAGGAGTGGAAAGGAGAGCAGATTAGAAAGACCACCTCGTCGTCTTGATTCCATATGACTGGTGATACTGATCAGCTAATGTCAGAACAATCATAGCTACTCCTTTTCAATCACCTGATCAGTATGTGAGCCAGGGAGCAGAGTAGGCTGAGGGTGGAGACTGGTCTGAGATCAGTGAGCAGCAGGCAGGGCAGCAGGAACACCAGAGACACCAGAGAGCACACTGACCGAGGAACAGCCATCCCCGACACACTGTCAGACAGCAGGCTGCTGGAGACCACCAGGTACAGCGTGCACGTCATCAACAGCTCGATGACCTTGAGAAAAAGAGATGTTTAACTGTTTATTGTGAGAAACTAAGGTGTTTTTTTCACTTGTGTAAATCTAATATATATGTATCTCATAGTGCTAGACCAGGGGTACCATTTATCCAAACGAGACGCCTGCAGGAAGGCTATATAAGCTTTGTGGAGAAGCTTAAACTCATAAAAAAACAAAAACAGAATTTGATCCAAAAAAAAAAAAATATCCATATACAGCATGATAGCTAGATCAGTCATAAGTAATAAGTCTTAATTGTTGGCTAATAGTAATAAATGAACCCTTCCAATAGTTCAAAGGTAGGTATATGTAAAGGATATATGATTGAAATGGTATAAGAAAAGTAATAAATCCTGTAAAAGCTAAAAGTAATGAATACATTGTTTAAATAGTTATCTAAAAGTAATGGATCAGCTGATAGCTGGCTAAAAGTATTTGGAAAATTGTGAAAAAGCTACATGTAATTAATAAAAGGGTTGATACTGTAGTATATCACTAAACAAATAATGCAATAATGCTTATGGTGATAATGGTGAAGGGCTACTCAAGCTAATTTACAGGCTGTCGGTGTATATCAGACAAAACGTTAGGAACCACTGATCCAGAAGTATTCAACATGTGCATGTACAGAATGATGAATGTGCTGCTATGTGTTGGTTTATTCTGAAGTGTGTGTTACCTGCGCTACATTAACCATCCAGCCTGCCAGTGCAGGCCAGTGGGGCCACAGTCCTTTGCAGCAGGCCTCCACAATGTCCTGGTAGCTGCGCCGGACTCTGACCTGTGACACCGAGCCTCCACTGAGAGATAAACACATCATCTTAATGTGATAATAGTGTAATTCAGGGTATATGCAGGAATCCTGAAGTCAAATGTAAGACCTTTTAAGACCTTTTTTAAGACCCGTTCCATACATTTTAAGACCTCATCGCCACTTCGAGTTTTAACCGGTTACATTGGCGACACACTTTACCTCACATTGACTATATACAGTATTGATTGTCCTTCCTCCTTATCTTCCAACCATTTGGACTCAAACTTGCATTTCCCCATAACGATGTTGTTTAACAACCGGCGTAAACGGACCTTCGCGCGCTATCAAGCAGTGAGCGTGCGATGTCCTGTTCAGATGATGTCAAATCCAACGGGATGCCATAAATAAACTACACAGAATCACACTACACACCTACGCAATGATTACATTCAGGCAAACTGTAGAATACAACCTCTTTGGACAATTGATATACTTATTGAAAGCAAGCTACAAAATGTAATACCTTGGAAAATGCCGTTTAATGCTTTTTAATAGCCTTCATTTTCACTAAATTGATTGATCAACTTTTAATACTTTTTAAGACCCCGCGGACACCCTGTAATTAGACAGTATGAAGTTGACTTTTGATTGTGTTCTGGTTTTAAGCAACTGTGATTGAAAGAATATTGCTTTTATTTGACTTTTTAATGGTTATTTCATTATTTTTTTGATATTATTTTTTTGTAAGAAGGGGCAGGTAAAATAAGATGTTCTTCTCCCTGCTCATTTCCACCATGCGCTATACAAATAAAAACCAGTATAAGTGTACATGTTCTGTTTTAAAATAACTCATGTGTGGAATAAACAAATAAAATAAAAATAAATTCTGACAAAAATGTCATACAAATTTCGTGCAATGTCACTATTTCCAGTTATTATCTTTGTGGAAGAGTTTGCTCCAGTGCTTTAGATGAGCACAATGATGTTCTTTATTTACATTGCTATGGCTTGCAATTTATATTGAAAATGAATGAACTCATCACAACATAATTTAACCTAAGTTCAGAAAATCTACTTCAGCACAGTTTTACAGAACAGATTGACATTTCTTTTTGCTGTGGTACTTTTCTTAAGCTCGCCACTGCTGAAAGAACAGAATAACATGTTTTTATATTTGGACTCAACCAAATTGGGGTTAAATTCCCCAGAGGAGTCTGAATAGAAGTGAAAATACATTCATGAATGGCTCTGTTGTCAGAAACGATAGTCACCATCTGCAGAAACTCAAACATATCCAACAAAGACTTCAACAAAAAAAATAGATATCCACCAAGCACAGGGATAAGTGCTCTTTGGGAATAAAAGCCCATAAGTGCTACAGCATTGACACAAAGTTAAATAAGTTGCTTAGAAAAATCTGCTATGAGTAAAATGGCTAAAGAGGAGAATATAACAGACACACCTTTGCTCCTCTTCGTACAGACAGGCCACCAGGATCCTCCCGGTGTGGTTACAGACCCAGGCCGACAGAACCAGCAGAACCAGACCAACATAACCCGAGCGGACCAGAGCGAAGGGCAAACCCAACACAAAGATACCCTGAGAGATGGAAAGAAAGAACACAGATGATTGGGTTTGGTGGAGGACGATAGGAATGAGAATACTACAAGACCCCTTTGGAAAAGTTGCTTCCAAACCTCTCCTTTGGTAGTTGAATATTGAAGAAACAGATTCACCAATCAACGTGAGAAAATGACCAACGTGTTATCGCCATGGTTACACACACAGATACATAAGGTAAAAACATGAGAAAATAAGCCGTCCAATCGAGAAAAAAATATATATATGATAATGAGTTTTGGCCAGCAAAATGTTTAAATGTACATATGTCACAAATTATAAGGCAAATTAAACAATTTCCAATTTTCTCAAGTAAAGAAAACACAAAATGATAGTAAAGTAAGTAGGAAGGGATTTAGTCACATACAAAATTAGGTTTTGACAAAGGTGATGAACATTTTGAGAAATCTATAAAAATCCTTGCTTTAAAATATATACACAAAACAAAATACATAGAAGACCTCTTAATCAACCCATTTTTACATACAGCCAGGTGCTCATTTCAACTTGTTTTCAGTAAGAATTAGAAACGTCTAAAACAAGAGAAGAGGAAAGAACAAGGATGAAAGTTGAAGGGGGAATTAAGAGAGTAGAGAAGAGAAGAGGATTGTTCACGGTCGGAGGATGAGGAGGCGAGAGGAGAGTTTTGGTGAGATGCCTGGAGCGTTCGAGGATGCAGGAGGCCAGCAGGAGCAGAAGGGACGAGGAGAGGCGAGCTTTGGCCCGTCATGGAGGGGACGTGACTGCCAGAGAGAGGAATAAGCAGGAGAGGGAATGGAGGAGGAAGAGAGGAAGAAGAAGGCACAAACTGACGAGGGTAGAGGAGAGAAGGAAACAAGGATGAGTGGAGATCAGAGGAGACAAGAAGCTACTTTGATGGAGCTCCTGCGTTACGAATGTTGGAACATGTAGACACTGAAACACACACACACCCACACACACTCATACAGTGGATGCATAAACACACGAGCACACATTCTCTCTCTTTCAAGTTGATATTTTGTAACTGCTGTCTGTTAGGCATGCTGACGGAGCTTTGATGTTCAAATGGAGCTGCTGGTGATGAAAGCAGTCTGACGCTCAAGTATCTGATTTCATCTCCCTTCTCTCTCCCTCCCTACACTTCTCTATCGCTCTGTGTTTATGCCAGATAATTCCTCATTGGTTACTCTGAGCGCAACTTGAAGCAGCTCCCAATCACAGACAGCTACAAAAAGAGAGGAAATAAATACCCGATTGACTCAGGAGAAGGTGTTTTAGCTTCATCCAGTAGTAATCCGACACCTAATATAGCTTTAAATGTAGTTTTCTACATACAGACTTAATATCAAATCATTTGTTATAACGATATTTTATTATTAACTTTATTATTCCTGTGCTTTGAAGTTGCAAAACTTCCGGTGTGGCGGAGTGAGCGGGCGAGAGTTCTCTCAGGTGGGTTTAAATAAACCCACAAAATTCAACAACTCAACAAAGAAAAGTTAGATATGAGTGGGGTAAACAATCCGGAAAATAAACAAACAGCAATACAAAGTTGAAAAACAACCTGAAATGGACGAAATCTCCGAAGCTAGCGAACACGAGGAAAAGCTAACTAGGAGCTATGGGATAATGCAGGAAATGCTAAGTGTCGCGCTAGCAACCATTAGCAACGATATCAAAGAGTTGAAGCAGGAGTTATGACTGAGATGAAGGAAGAAATCGCAACGAGCTACAGACACAGAAAACAACGATTGCTTTGTTAGTCAATCAGAATAGTTTTTTAACCAAACTGCTCTGGTATTGAATAAAATATTAAGCAAGAAATATTGACTGGAAAATAATAATGTAACATTTCTCATGAAGATCCAAGTGTTCATGATAATATATATTGTCAAGAATAGTGCTTAAAGAGATGATATACGTAAAAATAACTTCAAAAATTTACTTTTTTTAATGGGCAACCGGCAGCATTTATTTATTTATTTATGCCTCACTTCTCTTCGGGGTGTTGGGATGAATTTGGCAGTGAGATGAACCAAATAACATTTGACAGCAATCTTTTCCAAAACAAAATGGGGACATTCTTAATTTCCCTACGGCCTGTGTTTGGATTTGAAAACCCATTTACAACTTGGATGTTGAATTTCCAAGCCAGTTTGAGGTAAAATGTTGCTCAAAAGCCGACAATCACAGGCAGTTAAAGTGATATCAGAGCGTTGTTACTGTCAAAAACACAAACTTCACGTCTCTAATCTGCGATGAAGACACTGCCTCATTAACAGTCAAGTTGGAAATAAAACTGAGTTTCATAATACTCCCAAATCGGGAGCCTTGAGAGCTGGAGCTGGTATTTGCATTTTTGGCAGCAAATTTGCTCTCTAATAAAAACTTTATTAAGCTGGCAGACAGTCACATCAGTTATATTGGCATGAATAAACAACCACTGGAAAATACACATTTTCTTTACAGCCTTGATAGGAGATAAAACGGAAGTTGTTTTTTTCACAACGTTCTGTAATTATGGCCCAGATGTTTATACTGTACATCAGATACATTTTGTGGTCATACATCAGCGTCTGAGCCTCCAGTGAATCACCGCCTTCATTAAATAGACTCTTTTAAGCTACATTAGTCATCCAGTAGTCACCTCAATTTAACCTATCTGTGACCTCAACTAAAGGATTACTGAGCAATCCATTTGGTTAAGGTTCCTGATTGCAGTGTGCTGCTGGTAATGAATAACCTATAACACATTAAGCAACCCCACGAACCTGGAATGAAGCAGATAGTGTTTTAGTTTTAAAAGAAAATATGCTGCAGTAATGTACAGTCAAATTGCAGTTATTTCATTCAAAGCATGGTTTTAGGGACACATGCATTCAAATATAGTTGGAAGCATCAAGGCTACAGAAATGAATACATCGTACATTCGAATAGGCAATTTAAATCAGTAATATGGAATATATCATGGCCTCAGTTTCCATTCGAGACGAACTGTGGATCATCTGGCACAGAAACGCGGTCTCTAATGAATGAAAACCTGGCACTGAGATAGAAAGACTAGCATCAATAAACCAAGCACATAAAATACTTGTTTATCTAATAAATATCATTAGTTTGTATGTTTAGTTATGTACTGACAACAGAGCTAATGGTGAATTAGAATGTGTGAAAATAAATTGACATTAATTCACCTTGACTCCCGAAGGAACAAGTCTTCATGCATGTGTATTCATTTGTGTGTGTGTGCATGCGTAAACAGTATTGATGTCATAATGTTCTTTACAGACCCTGCAACGCTTTTCAATTACACTGCAGTTATTCAGTGAAAGAACACATTAACATGAGTGCAGCGGTTGAATACGGCTCAGCATTTACACAATAAGCTAATAGCATTACCGCCACGAGGATACATTGTGTTGATAAAAAAAACGATACGTCTGCATATTTAATAAATATATTTTTTGAGCGGTTGGCATTTACAGAGATAGAGAGACAAAGCTTTGTAGAAAAAACAAGGAATGACATGAGTTTTGTTCAACTTATTTCTAGATCAATCATTTTTAACATTTTCGGTGACTAACATGTTTTCCCCTACACATTTTGACAAAGATGACCCCTGGTTCCAATACGAACTCGAACAATTTGCCAAATGTCAGCCCCCCTATCTGCCCCTTTCTACACTGTCACTTATATAAAAAGGCACTGGTTGCCGAAAACAATCTTTAAAAAATAAATAAAAAGAATAGTTCATCAATGGCATTTGACACCATAGACATTTTACTGACAAAACTGGAAAGGTATGGCATCAGAAGGGTGAGATTAGACTGGGTGAGAGATTATTTAAGCAACAGACAACAATTTGTTGAAATAGGTGAACATAAATCAGAATACATGAACATAACTTGTGGAGTACCTCAGGGGTCTGTGTTGGGTCCAAAGCTGTTCATCATATACATCAACGATATTTGCAGAGTATCAAATATATTGAAATGTATTTTATTTGCAGATGATACTAATATGTTTTGTTCTGGTGACAATTTGAAACAGCTAATGGAGGTAATAACAGCAGAAATGACTCAAGTAAAACATTGGTTTGATAAGAACAAATGATCATTAAATATAAGCAAAACAAAGATTATGCTATTTGGAAAACATAAAACAAATCCTTAGGTGCAATTAATAGACAACATAAACATAGAAAGAGTATATGTAAATACAGGTTCCTTGGTGTGGTTTTAGACCACAAAATCAGCTGGAAACCTCATATCAATCATGTAAAGCAAAACTGGCTAAGACTATCGCAATATTGGGGAAAGCAAGACACATTCTGGACTACAAATCATTACTCTGTATAATACACTCATATTGCCATATCTGAGTTAATGTGTGGACCTACAGCCATTATGCACATTACAAAAAAGGGCTATAAGAATAATCAATAATGTTGGATATCTTGAACACACTAATTCATTATTCTTGAAGTCACACACACTGAAGTTTACTGATCTGGTTAAATTTAAAACTGCACAAATCATGTACAGAGCAAGAAATAATCGACTTCCTAGGAAATTACAAACATTGTTCATAGGCAGAGAGGGTGGGTATAATTTGAGAGGAAATCTACATTTTAAACAACTCAAGGTCACTTGAGAAGTATGTGCATAACAATCTGTGGGGTGATTTTATGGAATGGTTTGTAATTCGTAATTGTAAAGAGCTTTGAGCGCCTTGAAAAGCACTCTAATAAAAAAATGTAATGAATTATTATTATTAATATACCTGTATAGCATTTGTGACGTTCCAGCCAGCCTCCCAGGTGGTGATGGTGTTCAGCCCTTTGGTGCCAGGGTTGGGGCTCTGAACAGGATTACCCAAACTCATCTTTGCTATCTCTTCTTCCAAGCTGGTACCAAACTGAGAAGTCCCCTCCACAGTCTCCTCTCCTTCCTCTCCACGCTCAGAAAGTCTTGGTTTTTGCGTATTCCCTCTAAACATCCTGTAGGATTGTGTCTTGTTCTCCTCAGTGTTGTCGGTCTCAGAGGATCTTTTCCCTTTGCCATAAATGTTGGAGTTTTTAAACCAAAAGGAGTCTGAAGTGGAAACGGCTGAAGTTATGGTGATGGTTCTGGGTCCGGTGGAGATAACAGTGGCTCTGGTTTCTTTAAGAGTTGGACTCTCCTGCACAAAGGTGCTGTTTCTCCTGGTGTCCTCAGTGCTGTTGTTTCTGTTTGTGATGTTCTCCAAAGGCAATCTGTTGTCCTCACCATAGGTTCTGCTCAACTCATCACTGTGGGTCAGAATCAGCATCTCTTCGTCCTCCTGAGAAAACCTGCCAATCAAAACAAACCACTTCAATAAATGTTGAGTTCATGTTTTTTGAGTCATCAGTTACATTAGTAATAGACCATATTGAGTGAAGACCTAAGTATTTGGTTCAAAACAACCGTTCTTATCATATTATGAGTTTAAGAGTGGAGTCTGCTTTGAAGTACTTGAAAGGAGAGCCTCATTAACTTTAAAGAAATGTCCTCATATTTGTGTAATCTACTATAGTAAACAAAATATGTATATTGACAACAATACTATTGTGCAAAAGGAACAATACAAGTGTTTTTTATTGACTTGTAAAGTACCTTGTTAATCTGACTCTAGAAAATCCTATATTGAATAAATACCTTTATACAGAAACGTTTCCACTATCAATGAATTTAGCAGATACTCTACATAATGCACAATAAAGTTTAACATTAAGAATAAAACAAGAACACTTTGTTGATGATAAACCTACTAATAATCATAGTTATTTTTAGAAAAGTAATTATTTCAATATGAAAATAAATAGTAGGCTACAGTAAATCTATAAATGAATGTATCCCATATTGTGACTCACCTTGATGTCCAGTCCAGGGGCAGCCTCGACACTGCCCGGCCCCACAGAGACCCAGCAGAGCTCCAGGGCTGCCCAGAGCTGCGAGCCCAGCGACGAGAGCCCATCTTCAGCCTCACTGTGTACAGAGTCAGCCTCTCTGCCTCTGGTGGTCTCTGGGTCTGGGGAAGATTGACTGACACTGGACACATAAACAAACTCCTACAAAAATATCCCCCAAACACACACACTCACAATGTCTGCCTGTAGATAATCTGCAAAAACACACACACAATTGCACAAACACTCTTGCACAGGTGTGTGAAGTGATTGACAAGTTGGTGAGCTGTAACATTTTAATATAGCCGTGTTTTCAACAGTGAAGAAGTAAACAGCTTTAATGGCCTTAACACAGGGATAAAGTTGAGGGTATGACTTCATTCACTTTCATTAAATGCGGGATAGTTTTTACATGCTGATATAAAATAACAATGCTTTAATTAAAAATGTAACTTGTAGATGTAGGTTATACTGTTTTGATAATATCTAACTTTATGTAATTAGCTAATTTTGCATTATTGTTTACTCCAGTGAATCTCAACCTCAACTAGTTTGAAATGGCACTTTAGAAACTTTTTTAGAAGCTTCAAACAATGTTCTGACATACCTTTTCAACAAAAATGTATTTCATATTCTGATTTTGTCCTTATTTAATGTCTCTGTTTGTGCATATGGCTGTTCATATCTGGCAGTTTGAGTTTAGCCCCAGACTGTGGTGAGTTGAGCAGGGCAGCAGGAGGAGCCACAGAACAGTTGTGTAACTCACTTGACAAAACTTGACCAGAACTTTTGTCCAACTCTTCACTTCTGAAGTTTTCTCTGCTCTACTCTTCTTCACCCTGCTATGCTGTTTGTTGTTTCCAGAGCTGTGCTGATGCAACATTTCATTTTCTTTGTAGCTTTCATACCAAAATTGCTTCAGTTTTGCAGCAAACTGATGTATAATACGCCTTAAACCCTGTAATGGATTCAGTTACCATATGCTCGCAATGATCCCAGAATGTGAAGTTTCAAAAAAGTAACCAAGTAAATGAATTCATCTGCTATACTAAAATACCTATTAGGAACTTTATCTTAGTATTAGTCATTTTATTTCACGCTTCTACACCATTACATTTCTAAGGAAGATTTTGTATTTTTTACATTTTACATTCATTTGCCAGACATAAGCTAATGATAATGTACATACATTAATAATAATGTACGCAAAACACAAGCTCACCTGATACAATGTGATGCATTGCTTGATATGGGCCTTTCTGATGCCCAATGGTAACTTTTATAATCAATACTGTAAATACATGTTTGTTGTAAAAAGTTGTATCTATCTATCTATCTATCTAGTTTTCCATTCACTTCACCCCTCCTTTGCCCCATGTTTAAACCTGGAGAGAAGGGGGAGAGAGTAGAGGAAAGGGAGGAGTAAAGAGACTTTGGATCAACTTTCTCTGAAACTTCCCCCTGACTTTAAACGCATCACACGGAGCGCGCGAGAGGACCCCAGCGCTGATTCCACAGCGCACGCGTCACAATATCAAACTTTTTAAAACAGGACGAAATGAAGCGACTCCGGCTCGTGCTTCTGACCGCGTTACTATGGCAATGCTGCCATGCCCAGCAGAGAGGTGAGTCCTCCAGAGACTGATAGATAACACACGGATCAATACACCGATAACTGTGCTCAGGGGGAGTCATTTACCGGAGCACAACACTCCCATCATGCATCAGACCCCCTGTCACTCACACGGCTGCTGCTCATTTCCCTTAATAAGCTAATCAGGCCCAGGCTGGCTACACCTCTGATAGATAGATAAACTAATGTAAATCCAGGAGAAAGGCTTTTAAACGTCCTCTCATCACTGTGGCAAGCTGACACATGCCATTAATCACACTTTGTTTCTATCAGAGCAGGGTTTCTTTACTTGTTTAGATAAAAAGGAAAACGCATGATAAACACTTAAGCGTTTTTGTTCTATTAAAACTAAAACCTAAGAGAGCACTTTACACACACATCTGTTTACAGTCCTATTATTTAGTTATATATTATTCCAATCAGCTGTATTGTATTCCCCTACAATACAATATTTAATTTAAAATTCTGTTTTTATCAAACATTATACTTACTTGTTTGGGTATATAACTTGCTTATTTTTGCATTTACTTACATCATTGTGTCCATTGCAACATTCTCTTGTTTCATTTCTTTTTATTCTTGCAGTGTTTTCATTTGATCTATTTGTTTGTCTTCAGTATATTGTTTGTGTCATTGTTGGAGGAGCCTGAACTACTCTGAAGCTATTGTGCATATGACGGTAAAACACAGATAGAAGATGGTTGTTTTTCGAATACTGTTTGAATGGTTAAAAAATCTACTTAGCCACTGTGGTGATATCAATGTCTAAAGTCAAGTAAACTGTGTGTTTAGGCTGTAGTTTTTGAAGAGTATAACATCAGTAGCCTATAAACTGTAGCTGGGTGACTTCAACATAATTGACCAAAGGAAACATCCATTAGATCTAGGAAAGCAAAGGCATAGCTGAGATCATAAAACCCTTTGAAATGTCTTGTTAAATTAGGACCCCAACGTTTGTTGTCTGTTTCTGAGCGATCTGATAAGAAACTTTGCGAAAGAATCATCAGTTGTTCTTTTTAGACTAACCAATAAGGTTTACATAAAAGACCTTGACCTATAGTTAGTGTTGAACTGTACTAATACAACACAAATATGTCCTTTGGTTTGCCCTTTTGCAGTAACTCCTTGGCCAACAGGATGTATCCTTAGCCGATGTGCACTGTATGACATTTAGTCTGGCTCCCTGGGGAGTCTTGTTTTCAACTTTTCACATAGTTCAAGAACTCAAGTCACTCACAATGTTTGTCTATGTGACATTAATGTAGGCTACAGATGAAGGCTTGTTTCAGTGCCATTATAAAAAAACATCAGATCATTTGTTGCTGTTTGTAAAAGCAGGTATTTGACAAATAGTGAGGTTATTTTATCTTTGGACAGTGTACAATATTGGTTTTGGATTGGATGCAGTTTGCGGAGGAGTCACTGTCCAAATGATATGAGGTTCAGATTGAGGCATTTCATTTTGAAGTTAAGAATGTAATGTTTCCATCTGTGTTTTAGTCATCCTCAGTGTTTTCCTAAAAACAAACGATCAATCGCAACATGCCCTGAAGGTTGTTCACCCTAATTATGAAATAACATTTATTTGTATTTGTATAAATCTTGTGATATTTAGAGATGCAGATAAGATCAGTCTCTGAGTTTTTTGCCACCACAACCAAACAACAAAGGTGAAGTAAAGTCGTTTTTGTACATTATTTAAAACCTTAGCAGCAGCATCTATTTTCAGAAGCGGTGTTTCTCTGAATAATCCTCAGACCTCATCTTCAACAGATTTGTCATACTGTTTTTAAGAAATGCTCCTTTTTTATAAATGGTGTTCACAGTGTGTTCTGTGGATTATCCAAAACAAACTCTGAACATCATCAAACACAGTTGCTGTTTCTAAAAGATACATAACGTTGAATCGGCTGTATGAGATATTATTTTCAATGCCTTAAGTACCACTAACAAAATCCATACACATACTGCTTTGATGTGAAGGCAAAAATCTCAGATAAATCTCTCAAAACCCAGACAAAGATAAGCACGTCCGTCTGCATGCCTGGATACCACCACATGCTAAGAGAAATACCATCTTCTTTGTTTTTGTCATTTAAGTGAATCAACCCTTTAAAGATCAAGAGATGCGAAATGCACTTGAAAAGAGCTGCTGCTTTTGTATTTACTGTAGTGGTGAAGTTGCCAAATGATGTTCTTGTGCGTTAGGGCCGTGACATTCAACAACAAAAAATGAGCAACAATGCCCTTAGAGGAGAAGGGGATTGACAGCTGGGTCAAACACAATATAACAAAGCACACAATAAGATATTCATGCAAAATACTGATTCTTATTATTAGTCAAATTACCCCTTTTACACAACTTACTAAGACCCCGTTTACACGAGGACGATACGGGTTGTATCTGCATAGTTTCTCTTGCGTATAGCCCTTTCGTTTACACGAGGCCGTAACAAAACGATAGAAACGGACCCCGCAAACGATAACGGGTCCCAAGGTGGATAGATCTGCAAACGGAACGCTCTGGGGGGTCAAACGGCTCTGTGTGTATGTCCCTATACGATCAAATTCTGATAACGATGAAATAGCCCCGCCTCCCTCTCCCCACGTCTCCTGCTCAGAGATCAGCTGCTGGGCTGTCAGAAGAGTGGGAGGAAAAGAGAGGCTCCGTTTATTATTATTATATTATTATATAGAGTCGTTATCAATTTGTTTTAAAGGGGACCTATCATGCAAAATGCACTTTTGTACATCTTATATACATGAATATGTGTCCCCGGTGTTCCAGGGAACTCACCAAGTGTCAGAAAACACAACCCTCTCTATTTTCCTCCATACCCAAATCTCTAAAAACGGGGCTGCAACGGATCTGATACAGACTGATCCAGATTTAAACATTTCTCTGACGTCAGGACGGAGGAGCTCCGCCTATATGGCCAACTCTCCACCTATCAGGGGAATGAGAGGTTGCCTTGGCATGGTAACATGACGCTCGTAACTCGGCCCCCTCCTTTGCAGGGGGGCGTGGTCAGCTGCAGCGCATGCAAAGACAGGGTGGAGGAGAGCGAAATGAGGCATGGCTAAAATGCATGATCTGTTTGGTATTTTGAAAAAGAAAACGTATAAATATACCTTATATAGGTATGGCCCTACAATATATTATTCAAATATAGCATGATAGGTCCACTTTAAAGCTCAATAAATAACAAAGAAGACCTCTGACCGGCACTTTTCTAATTTTGTCCGGAAGATTTAAACTTTAACGGACATGTTGACCGGCGGAAACGAAACTCTGCCGCATGATTCCCTCGTCCCTTGGAAGAGGCGGAGAGGTGGGTGTTTTTCATCTGCTGGTGGACTACCGGAGAGATTTACAGCAGGAGCACACGCCGTCCACCGCGGAGAATAAACAGAAGGGCAACCATGGCAACCATGCTCCTGGGTCTTCTTCGCTGCTTTTGGTGTATTTTGTGGCGGCAGCAGCGCCAATTACAGGCCTGTCATATGTACTACAGCGTTTCCAGCGGTCTCGTGTGAACGGACACGTTAAATGAGCCGAATGCGTGTGAACGGAAGACTTTTTGGAAAACGCATACGGTGCGTAAACGCAAACGTTCCCGTGTAAATGGGGTCTAAGGATTGGCCATTTTCTTCTTGAACAATAGAACAAACATGAAGATGAAGCTGTTTGAGTGTGTGTAGGGTGTGTTGACATGTGTGTGTTTGTAGCTTGATTAATCAGACAAATGTAGTGCTTGTCATGCTTTTTTTCTATTTATCCTCTTCAAAACATCTCCAGCTACTGTTTTACGCAGGAGTGCTTTGGACCACCTGCAGAGGGGAGGGGGGCTGCCATCATGATGTGTGTGTGTGTGTGTGTGTGTGTGTGTGTGTGTGTGTGTGTGTGTGTGTGTGTGTGTGTGTGTGTGTGTGTGTGTGTGTGTGTGTGTGTGTGAGAAAGTGAGTAGAAGAGAGAAATTGAGTAGAAGAGGGCGGGAGAGGCCATCTGCATTAGGAGCCTCATTACCAGGCATGTCAGCCAGGCATGCTCTCTATCAGCGACGGAGCTCAGAGAGACACCGGGAGATAATCAGAAAGAGGTGGAGGAGGAGGAGGAGGGATGAAATGGAGAGGAAGGAGGGTGCGCTCAAGAGTTATAAGGCATTGAAGGAGACATCAATGATAAGGATTGGTGAAACAGGTAGAATAACGGTTCAGGGGGCATGAGAGAGAGAGAGGAGGAGGTTGAAGCAGCAATATTGAGTAAAGGATTGGAAGTATACACAAAAGCTATATGGAAATTAAATATTTTGAATCCGATCCCGATGGTTTTGAGGAGAGGGATCGAGACACATTTGTTGATGATGAAAAGACCCTTTTTTTGGGGCAACATTGCAAAAAAAGTTGGGTGGAAAATTGCTCATCACTGTAGACCAGGGGTGTCAAACTCAATTTAATCGCAGGCCACGTCAGCATTATGGCTGCACTCAAAGGGCCGGTTGTAACTTTAAGACCATATAAAAATACATATATAAATATATATATAAAATAATGTATTATATTACATTATTGCCTCTGCATTGGATTATTATCAGAATTAACTATGTCTGAAAGCAGAAGTCTGGGGCAAATAATTGCAAGTCTCTTCAGTGAGAATGTCACAAAATGATTTTAAAAGAAAAGCTAAATTCTGGAAAAAAAGTCATATTGGATGACAACAGTATAAGTCAATAAATGTGAAGTTGAATATTCAATTCCACTGACTGCATCATCATAAAACCAGAATAGACCAGATAAATCAGCAAATGTAAAGTAAATGCTATATATATTGGACAATATGAATTATTTAGCAAGTTTTGAGCTCTGATTTTATATGAAATAAAAGTCAGAATGATGCATGGAACTCTAGAGTAAAGCCAAACAACAAGATATAGTAAATTGTCATGAATGTGTGCCTGTCACCAGGGAAAATGTCTAAAGTTCGGACTAGTT